CAGGCAAGCTGCAACTGAGTCTTGGGGAATGTGAAGGAAATCGGCTTGCTGGAACAGGATAGGCTTGGTGGAACAGGATGACGCCTTCTGATCCCATACGACTTAACAGTCACCACTAGCACAAGTTGGCTTGTGTAAGGTCTCTTTGCTTGAACACACCTGTCACCTGTCACCTTTTCTTAAAGCTTTCCCTCAATGAACGAGGAATCCAAGTCCAGTCCACCTGTCCCAACACTTGATTTCCAGTCACCTTTTCCGATCTCAACACGAATTGGACTCGGGTGCGCCCGGAAGGAATCTCTGGTCTGCGAGATCAAAGAACACCCCGGAGATCAAAGCAACCCCAAAGAACCCGAACACCTTATATCATTGGGGTTGATGCTTTCGGATACCAAAAACATCCAGAATCAACATCTCGGGAGCTCCAGGGCATTCACGAAGGGCACTCCGCTGGCTCCGCCGAAATCGACCTCCACCGAGGGCCACCTTAGGGGGTCAGAAAGGAACGACATCGGCGTGAGTGGCAATGGCCAGGTACAATTCCCTTAACTTGAAGCCAATGTTTGTTTTGACCATTCAAGTGTGTTTGACCAATTCCCTTAACTTGGCGTGTTTGTTTGTTTGTTTTATTTCTGTGGAGCTTGCAGTGTGTCCTGTCTGATGTGTTCTGTCCGATCCTTGTTTCTTTCGCACTGTTGTTTCCCCTTGCTTGTTGAAGGACGCCATGTTGGCTGTTTGTCAACCGCAATGACGCCATACTGAGTTCGACTTAATTGCACTTCATGCCTGCAGTAAGCTTCACATCCATGCCTGAAGGCGTCCTTTAGTGCTAGAGGGATTGCTGGAAATGTCAAAGCACACATCCGTGAAAGTGCTCGGAGTGGGGTATCGTATGATACCTGTGATACCCGCAAGTATGTTTGGGCAAAGCAGCCAGTGATGAGTAAAGTTGACTTCATCTGTACTCAGGCATTTCTTGGCATAGTGATGTACGTATATTTATATGTGTGTATGTATGCACACGTCCATGTACAAGCATTCTGTGGGCCAAAGGTATGTGTACACCTTCGTGATCTTTGCTTTGGGAACTACTCTTGAGGTGTGTGGTCGCCTTTGGACTTGAGGCATTTCTATCTGTACCTCTGGGCAACAACGGGTGTGTAGATGTTCTATTCTTGCAGCATGTGACTCGATCGTTGAGCAAACGTGTCAGCCTGTAGTGCAGCGTGGTTACAGTACCTAGATCCAGATTGTTTGCTCCCGACTCATTGCACCTGGATTTCGAATGTTCGTTCTATTTCCTTTTTAAATCCCTGTAATATGCATATACAAAACATAAGTACAAAATAGTACAAAAAGCTTTTAGCATATTGATCTGAACATCTACTGCTTGTAAGAATTTGCCCAATCCCATACTTGTTGGGGCCTGCAAAGTCGATGCTTTAACACCTGCAGGAGAGAAATCTCCGGTCATCTCTATGAGCGGCATGCCCGGCCAGTCGTTCCTCCACACTTCACGGCCGGCCCGGCTGTGGGCATTCTTCAAAAAAACAAAATGATGAAATGGTTTCTGCTCGTTCCTGCCGGCCCGGCTGTGACAGGATCAGTTTCTGCTCTTCGCTTCTCCGCCATCCCTCCACCATGCAAAGCGACAAGGCAAAGCGACAGGGTCTTTCTGCCCACAGCGAAGGCTTCTGTCTTCAATGGCTCAGGGAGAGCTGTATGAGAAGCTGCAGGACCTTGGGAGGCGATGAGAAGGAAAGTCAATGACATTAAAACTACTTCTGACTGGTGCTTAGTAGGGAATAAGGGAATGAGCCCCCAATAGAGATTCTATTGGATCCATTCCCTCATTCCCTGCTAAGCACCAGTCAGTACTTTAATGACATCATGTTCACATCACATCCATGGACTGCACTCCCTAGAACTAACATGGAAGTGGAGAATGGCCCCTTGGAAGACCATTTTCTTCTACAAACAGGGGGTGGTCCACTTCCATGTTAGTTCCAGGGAGAGTAACAAGTTTTGGGGTTCCCCTGCCTTTACTGGGGGCTTATGATTGAAATGTGAACATTAAGACTTTTTCAGGTCCTGCGGTGTTAAGGCAACCTTTTCCGCTATGAAGAGGATCCTTTCAGGATTTTGAGGGTCCTTCTCACGTTGAGACCCAGCGGCTGTCCGTCGAAGAAGCGATCCGAGCAGGTCAGGAAGTTGATCCGAGCAGGTGCAGCACTGAGTAGCTCTGTGGGGTACAGAGTAGACCAGGCAGCTTGTGAAACCAGAATCCATGGGGAACATCGGGATCGACCACAGGGATCAACAAGATGGGACATCCTCCGATGTAGATCCTGAAATACTTATACCAAAACCAGGACCAGGACGCAATGAATAACTATACATATACATCCTGATTCAAAACAAATACATCATCCCAGTCGGACGCTTGTTCTTTGCCAAGTTCGTTTTCACGTGTCTTAGACCAACAACGACAGCCTCCGTACTGGTCACTGAGCAGCATTTCGGCGGCCACCAGCTCAGCACGGGCGGCGCCAGCATGGCACTGCTCGGCAGGAAGCGGCGGACAGGAGGAAAACCCGCGACAGGAGTCACCCTGCATACAAACAAAGCCAAGCTTTGGCTGTTCGGATTGTCTGGGCTTCTTTTTTCTGTATGATACTTATGTACTTCCCTTTCTCCTGAACAGAACATTTGTTGGTATTGCCGGCCATGCAAACTGGGGGTTCCTGAGCTATCTCAGGTAATGCAAGAGCTTACCGTCGAAAAGGAAGCAACACAGAACCCTTCATAGTAATAGCATAGTCAGACTAGTGATGTACGGCATCCTCACAGAATCTCACAGAACCCACATCTACAACATATATATATAATTATATATATATAATTACACCCCTCCATCTACTACGCATCTGCAAGCCAGCGAAAAGGCAAACAAGTCAACAAAACGCTTCAGCCTTTGGCTCTTGCAGTTGGGTCAAAGAAGGCTTTAGAAAAGAAGCTACCAGGGGCTCCTGGCATCGCTACTAGGAGCAAGGACGCTACTAGAAACAATGGCATTACTACTAGGCTAGAAGCTACTAGTAACAAGAAGCTACTAGGGGTTTCAGTCTTTTGTGCCAACGTGCATGTCCCCTTCCCCATTATTGGTACAAGGGAGGTTGCCCGGAAGTTTACCATGCTACCGATTTCTTGACTTGAAAGAAACCAACATGTCCTATCTAGTGTCTGAACCAAAACAGTTTGCAAACACTTGCTTAATCCCGCATGGAATCAACAACCTTCAATAAACATCGTGACATATCGTGACATGGTGTCGACCTATATAAACCCCAGACCTTCTTCTGAAACAATGGTCAAGCTAAACCCCGACCCCGCATCAGTACACACCATGTTGTTCGATGTGTGATCCTGTTTTGCTAGGAGCTTTTTGGGGGTTGCCAGACCGACCCTCGTCTTGACATCAAATCGAGGTGCTGGAACAGCAGCACCGACCAACAAGAGCACCACTTGGACGATAAATCATAGCTACTAGTAGCATTCTTGCTCCTACCAGTAGTAGCGATGCCCTTTGTTACTAGTAGCTTCTTGTTACTAGTAGTAATGTCAGCAGCTACTAGTAGTAATGTTACAAGCTGGACACAGTACGGCAGGGTTCATCTTCTTCTGTTCATCTGTCCCTGTCCGACCCTTGGTGATGCTTTTCCTCTTGGAGGGCGGTCGTGACCGAGCCAAGAAATGGTAAATGGCCGCCCTGGATCGTGGGTCTGGCGATCGTGCTTGTTTTGCGCGAAGGAGTTGCTCCAATTTGGATCCAATACCCCGAAAGACCGGGTCTTGAAAGCTCCAAATTGACCCTTATTTGCATAGACATCACCAATCAGGGACACTAGTTCTTTTGCTCAAAGGGTTGAGGAGAAGTATCACCCTCAGACTATGGCCGGACAACACGCATACACTCCAATCGCACAAATCTTCTTCACATTTGTGATCCCAGTTTCCGTGATGGAAGATCGCTCCCCACATCCCAAATAATGACCCTCCCACCAAAAAGATACACAAAACACACTTGCTAAACCAGGCAGGGCTCAGTCGTGGCTTTCCAAATGCCACACAAAGAGTCAAAGAAAACCGATGAGTCCCTCTATGATCCATACAAACAAAATATAATCCGTGCCACTTCACTGTGCGAGACTTCTACCAAATGAATAACTATACATATTTTTTGTCCATCATATTCCGGAATATATATCATACTATCACATTCATAGATCTAGGGAATCATATCATATCCAGGGAAGTCCAGGGAATATTTCATATCATATCATTAAGATTCATTAAGTGTTAATCGCAGGGCAAAATCACAAGCTTGTGACCCACGACCACAGTGCTGACAGTTTGTGCTGCCAAAATGGCCTGGTCTCGGATGACATAGCTGTTCCAAATCGCCAAATTGAAACTTGAATATCTCTGCGATCGATGATTTCAGTGCTGTTCAGAATGCAAACAGAACATTGCAAAAACATTCCAAACGATGAGTTGATCTTTAGGGTGTTAATGAAACATTTTGCATCATTTTGCAATGGATTGAACATGGTACACTCCAAAAAAGCTTCATTCTACAAAGCTTAAGGCTTGAGATCCTCAGATTCTCAAATCCTCTACAACGCTGCGGGAGCGCCCCCGCCCAGGTGAAACGGCTAGCAACTTTGCTGCGGGTGGAGGACCCTATACAAAATGGCGGTCGCATGACCGCGTGCCACACCAGTCCGGAAGTTACCACACGACTGGAGAACCGAAAAAAAGACATGTTCTAGTGATTCTAGTGAGCAAAAGGTGATCCGATGTTCATAGAAAGCGCCGCCTCTTTTTCAAGAACGTGAGCCTGCCCCTCTCAAGGATGGACATCCAGAAATCTGAACGAGTCAAGCAGCTGGTACAGTGCAGATTTTGGTAGCCGCTCTGATGCTTCAATGAATGGGAACGTGCTTTTGACGCGTGAACACCGTCCTCTTACAGCGGGGTCCGCTTCTTCTCGGGCCGGGAACCCCTCTCTTTCTCCTCCAATCGTCGGATCGACGATCGTCAGATTGACGGGTCGGTGCGATGACCTCCCAGTGGTGTGGAAAACGCTCAGAAGGTGGAAATGTCCTTCAGTCGAAGAAGGCTCCTGCTGGATGAGTCGGACGCTCCGGCTGAATGAGTCTGGTCCAAAGAACCGAGGTACTTGACCTGGTATGTCTGTTTATGGGGCAACAAGTCGTGATAAATTTTTTTGCGCGTTCAAATGGCTACAAAAACGAGCTTGGCCGTTCATTGAGTTTTCTCTGAGTCGCGCACCTCAGAAACTTCATGGTGCTCCAAATTGAGCCATAAACTTGTCAAGCCTCGGTTGTGCTAGCAGCTGCTTGCCCAAACATGGAAAACGGATACGAGTGACGCAAAGTGTGTTCCACCCAAACGATCCCAAAAGCGCCCCCCTCAAGGACCTCGACTGAGAAGTTCTCTGCGCCAAAATCACCAGAATTCACCAGACTTGTGGCTCGCTCGCCATGCCGAATCACAGGCATCAAAGACGCCGGGTCGTTACGGTGTCTTCCATGCCCCAACACATTGGAGTCCAACTGGTTGGAGTTCCGCCTCTTTGAGGAAGGAAGAACAGGACATGTCACAAGGGGGCAGCCGAGTCCAAACTCAGTGGCACCTAGGTGGCCACAGTCCTGAATCATTCTGAATCTGTCACTGATGCAGCTAAACACAATAGTACCGCACAAAGCTGAGATTTGTACTACCTGGGTACTTGCAGGATCAGGTAGTTTCGAAATGTCTTTAAAGTTCCTGGGATTTCCTGGGCATCAATCATATCTTCAGCATCCTTCCAAGCCCCTTCTAGTAGTTGCCGGTATCATCAAACACAATGTGTTCCTATCCAATGTTGATTTCAACGAAAGAATGCTCTTTCAGGTTCTGGATTTCCTCGGTGTTTAATCATAATGAATGAGCAAGTCTACTCAAGCAACATTCCCTGAGAGTCCACGTGACTCATTTTGCCCTTATGGTAGTGGTGGAGTCAAAATTGGAGTACAATGAGTCATTACCTTTTTATCCTTTTTGAACAGGATCCCACCCCCACAGGCTTGCACTTGCAAAATCGTGTCTGTGTCTGCGTGGCAGTGTGTCAGGGGCTAGTTCCCCCAGCCCCTGAGACGTCCGAACAGATTCTGATCGGCACTCTTCATGTTGATCTCCTTCACTCCCTGCGCCGCACCAGGGAGGATGTCAACAGCCCGGTGAGGATGTCAAGGGGCCCGGCGAGGTCCAGGTGTTGCCAGGACGTGGAGATGTGCTGAAAAAACCGTCACGATGAACGTGGACCTACAGGTAGCATGTCTGAGACACCAAACAGGGAACCAAATCGGAGTTCGGGCTGGTCCAACCATAACGTGTTCCAAAACAGGGAGGCGAACGTCAAAAAGCTCGTATACTAGATGAAATCGATATTCAATCTTTTGTTTTAAACCGACTGGCCATGAGAGAGAGTGTCCGTGCTGGCAACAGGGCCCATGGTCTCGACTGCCAACAGGGCTGCCTTTGTATAGCAGGTTCTATATGAACTCTTCGGGGCAGCAACATGCCTTAGAAGGCCATTTCTACATTGTTTGCAGTTTCCACGTTCATAGCGCTTGGAATCTCCATTCCAGCATAGCATGTATTGATATATGCATGTATAATTGCATGGATATATACATATGAGCGACCTTCAATTTGTTTTTCAAAACTTTGATCGTTTCTACCGAGGCTTCGTCAATATCATTAGACCTTCGCAGCTGAGGGTGTCACATGCTGCAATGAACACCAGAACAGCTTAGGAGCAGGACTTCGGACTTAAATGATAAACCTTCGTTTCTTGCTGTTGCTTAGCCTTACCTGAAAAAAAATAACGTGTATTGTATCTCGTTCGTGCTTGCTCAATTTGACCGAGAACCCAAACCCAAGAGACAGGGACCTCCCTTATCAGCTTTCCCTTCGAGATGCCAACACCGATATTATGGCCAACACCTTTGGAGAATGAAGCCCCAGTACAGCTACTGGGCTCAGGCTCGGCTCCTATACAAACACAAACAAACATACACAACATCTTCATCCGTGAACACTCACACCCCGGGCGTACCGTGCCCAGCGTCGCCGGGGTCGGGATGGTTGCTGGAAGGGTCACTGGAGAGTCAGGTCTGGAAGCCACCTCGGCGAGGCGGCTTGGTTTCGGTGGGCGATGGTTGAACGAAATAAAGCAAACCGTTGGACCAAGCAACACCGGGAACAAGAAGCTACTAGTAGCTCCTGCATTACTACTCGTAACAAGAAGCTACTGGGAACAAAGGGCATTGCTACTAGGAGCAATTAGCTACTAGTAGCAAGAAGCTAGGCGGTTGGTTTCCACTGTTACTTGTGCGGTTGGGCGAATGATTGTAGCGGTGAGCATCGGTTGAAACCGATGCACCTGGCGGAAGGATTCAGGCAAAGAAACGAGCTTGGACGAGGAAGCAAGCATGGGCAGAGTGAAGAGATGACATGACGTTTATTCTAATATACACTGGCCAGAAGAAAGTTGCGCTTCTTGATGTTGAAACTCATGACAACCCTATCCCCCTAGAATCCTACAC